AACGCTTCAAGATTCTCACTTGGCTATCCTTGTAAATATTATTCTGGCTTTTCTGGCCATGACAAGGCCAAAATCATGTATGTAGCTTAGAACAGTAAAAAATATAAAGCAATTGTCTTCTGCAATGTTCTTGTTTACTGTCAGCCTTAAGGGATGAGTGTTTCTAGTTTTTGCATTATCATTGTTTATTTTGAAGTCTGATAACTATTTCTTTTTTTAAAAAAAGTGTTTGTGGGGGACCGGCCCCAAGGAGCGAGCTGTGAGAGGGCAAGGCCTTTAGGTGGGAAGGTGTCTGCGTGGCGAGATTCCAAGAAGGGGGAAAGGGGAGTGGGCGCAAGGAAGACACGGGAGTCGGAGTTGGGTGCTAGTCTTCCTGCCCATCTTTTTAGCAGGTCTTTATACTGTTTAGCAAGTAGTTAATTACAATAATACATCCGGTAAGTTAATAAGAAATCAGCATAAAAGTTCTCACGGAAGAGGGGAACAATGCATCCTCTCCCTGACACTTTATGGCATACTAGACTATACATATTTGTTATAACTTTCATGTATATGGATGTTTAACTATGACTTCAAAAGATAAGGGGTCTGGGAAAGGATGAGATGTTAGCAAAGGAGTCCTAAGGAAGGAATAATTGTGTTAGCAGAGTCATCAGTGATTGTCTAAAGAGAAGCTAATGGCTAACTTAAGGCTAGCAGAAAGTAGTTAGTGTTTAAGAAAAGGGTAAATTAAGAGGAAGTCACATAGTCATGCATTAAGCAAAACCTGGTGTCAATAATGTTAGGAAATGTCCATGAGTCCTTATGCTTTGGGAGTTTTATCAGAGGTTTGCTTTTTGTTTCAAATGACCAAGGATGCTTCCCAGGAGTCTTGATGCTGGGGGTGGGGTGGGGTGGGGGGCGTCTTATCTCTCCTGGAGGTTTGCCTCTGGGCACAGAAAATTTCCTGCCCTGGGGCAGCTCATACATACTTTGCCCCAGCCAGGTAGCCAATTTATGAAGCTAAGGCAATCCAGTTGCAAACAGATGGTTGCTCAGAATACTTTAGATATTATGATTATACAAAAAAGGGAGGTCGTAACATAAGTTAGCAATGGAATTCTGATTTTTCAGAGCTTTCCCCTTCCATCTGGAATTTGTCAGTCGACAGAAGTTTCATAGCTTGTGTCAAAAGTTGTAGAGGGCCTCCCTGGTGGCCTAGTGGTTAAATCTCAATGCTACCATTCCATGGCCTGAGTTCGATCCCCGGCCAGGGAGCTGACCCACAAGGCACAGCAGACCTCTCCAGTCTCCCCTGCTAATCCCCTCAGCAGTGTATTTCAGTCTGTCCTGCTCCCCACTCTGCCTCTGGTGAATCCTCTCACCAGCACCCCTGAGCTGTACCCCAGTTCTTCAACATGAAAATAAATAAAATCTTAAAAAAAAGTGTTGTAGAAGTAAAGAACAGTATTTTGTATTCCTTAGCTATCAAAATATTTTTAAAATGCCATTTTTCCTTCTTGTGTCCTGTGTTGAAATATAGCTGGTGTGGGGGTACTCCTGGCTGGGCAACTTCCTTTGGGCACCCCAGAGCTCTTCAGAGAATGTCCCTCCCTCCTGGCCCAGCCTGAGGGGCCTCACTCAACACTTTCTTGGTGTTTATCCTTTGGGGGTTCCTGCCTCTCCTGTCACCCCATGTCTGTCCCTTTGCCACCCAGGTCTCCCACATTCCTCAACATCCACCCAGCCCCCTTCATCAAGCCTTCCTGCATGAGCTCTGGTTGGATTTCTTTGAGCTCTAACTCCCACAGCACTTAGCCCTGGGTACACAATTTAGCACTTAATTATATATATTGTCTTTTATTAGTTAGTTTTGTCTTTTCCGGTGAAGCTGTAGCCTCCTTGAAGCAAAATATCTTAGATATTTGTCTTACCCCCTCTTGATATTCTGGTAGAGACACAGGCAATACTTCTGGTGCTACCAATAAGTGATTTTCTTAGAGACTTTGCATAGGCACAGCTGTGAGACTTTCCACCCATCACTGCACTGTCTGTTTTTTTTTTAAGATTCATTTATTTATGCATACAGAACTGGGGTACAGGCCAGAGGCACAGGGACAGTGAGAGGATTCACCAGAGACAGAGTGGTGAGCAGAATAGGCAGATGGACAAAATACACTGCTGAGGGGAGCAGCAGGTGGGTCAGGAGTGGTCTGCCGCACCATGTGGATCACCTCTGGGGCAGGTGGGGATCAAGCTCTTGTTGAAGCAGCTTTAGCTTCTTAGTGTTTGCTTTAACCTGTTGTGCACCAGGGAATACCCCACTGTCTGGCATTTTAATAAATATCTGTGAAATTTATTAAACTGAGTTGAGTGATGAAGATCAGTTCTGAATCTAGTATTTAGTTGGACAGACCTTGCCATCACTGTGTCACTTTTCTTGTCTACAAAATGGAGTAAAACACACGCATACGCAAGGGTCTCCCTGGCGGTGCAGGGGTTAGTCTCAGAGCTATCAAGCTAAGGTAGCAGCCACTATGGCCTGGCCTGGGCACAGCAGCAGACCTCTCCTGTTTCTCCTGCTATTCCCCTTGGCAGTGTAGCTAAGTAGCTCACCTGTTCTGCCCCTCCACTCTGTCTCTGGTGAATCCTCTCACCGCCCCTCCCCCCATCTCTGGTCTCTACTCAGTTCTTATATGCATAAATAAGTAAAAATAAATCTTTAACCCCATCAAACCCCCCCCCCCAAACAAGAAAAACCCATAAAGAACAACTCCCTAACAACAACAGAACAGAGAAAAAAATGAAGCTAAAAATGTTTTCCCAGCCTATGGCAGAGTCACGGGCAGTCTTAAATGAGAAAATGTAGCTTTGAAAACTACAGATCGCACTTTATAAATGGTTGTGATTATTGTACCTCACCGTTCTTTCCCAAGGAGTCACAGAAGAAAATAGGTTTGGTGTTGATCAAAGAGAGTGGATTCTTTGCTCATCTTTTTGATATGCCACCCATTCTCTGAGAAGCCGGAGTACAACAGAGAAGTAGAAGACAATAAACATGACCTCTGGGTTCCTGGTTTTCCTGACAAGGTATCACAGATGTGGGAATGACATACCTGTGTGTGAGATTTTGAAATGACAATTTTCCAGGTGAGGTAGTCTTAGCTGCTTCTTACTTTACCTAACTTTTCTGTCTTCTCATCCCCAAGGCTTTTGCTCTGTTAACTCTCTCCTGGCAAGTCTAAGCAAAATGCAGTGTAAGGAAATCATAGTGCAGAGATAAGAGTGTTCTGTTTTTGGAGTGGATCCTCTATTTTATTTCTTCAGATTCCAAAAGGGGACTGATACTCTGGCCATGATAAATGAGTTGATGTAATTTTTCTAAAGTCATCCTTCCACTTTTGTTTTTGGTCTTTACCATCTATGATTTTTTTTTTTTTTCCTTCTCTCTTCCCATCTTTGGTCTTTGACTTGATCAAATTACCAAAATATATTCGGTATCATTGGTGGTGTTTGAGATTTTTTTTTCAATTTTAATAAAACTATTTGAGGTGAAGACTTTTATAAACGTTTTATTAAAGAAATATAGACATGTATTTGTTTTTCTATTAGTGCTTAACCTTGGACTGATTGTTTTCCCTTTTGGGTTAGTATTTCTAAGTGAAGCCTAGTGCATTTATATGGGCATTCTTCCCGGACACGTTAACATTTAAAGAGGACTTTAGGAATAGAGAGTATGCAGGTCTGCTTCTCAAATTTCCATCCAGTGCTGTAATGGGGAGGCCATTTTTCTTTCAGTAGGTTCCTTTCTGAATTTTACTTAAAAGTGAGTGGAGCAGTAGCAAGGGCAGGCAGAGGCTGGAGCAAACACGTTTCAAAATAGAGTGCGTGCTTTATTTAGATTAGGGAGGACTTGGGTGGGTTCATGGTTATGTTTCTAAAGATGTGGTTCCAAGGTTGACTTTTGCCGTGAACTTGGGGGGTTTCGTAGTTTTGGTTTTTAAAATACGACTGTCTTCCTACCAAGAGAAATCACTCCTTTTGAAGCGTTAAGACTGTCTCTCACTGGTCTGTATTTTCAGGCCCTAGCCTGTAAATGTTACAGAGCAGATACTCAACCAGTATGGGATGAATGAAGGTGAAATGAAACCGGTTTCCTTATCTGTAAAGCCAGGGGTTGGACCTCAGCATCTCCAAAAAGGGCCTATTTACCCCTAGCATTTCAGTGTTTAGCAGTAACTGATGCTATTTTGTAGTCTAAGGCTCAACTCCAGGTTTGAGCCACCCCTGAGAAAGTGGCCTAAGCCGGTCGCCACCCTAAAAGTGTGCAACCCTGTCCGTATGGAGCTCTGTCCTCCCTCCAGCTTCCCGGGACCAGGACTGTACAGCTTCCCCCGGCCCCGTCCCAGGGCAAGGAAGGGCACGGCGCGCCGCGGGCACAGCTCGCCGCGGGCACACCTGCTTCAGCGTCCAAGGGAGAAACCATCGCCTTTCTCCCCTCCAACTCCTGGTGCCCAGAAGCGCCATTCTCCAGCGGGGCTGCACGTCCCTGTCCCCCAGTGGCGCGTGCCCCGTCCTCGGCAGCCCGGCGGCGCGGGCAGAGCAGGTGACCCGCCGCTGGGCTGTCGGCGCGCCGAGTTAGTTACCTGGAGCGGCGGGGCGG